CCTTGTTGTTGCCTTTGTGTGTTGTGTACACGCGCGCGCACGGGATAGCGTGGGAACTTTCTGAGCGAGCAGCTCGCCCAGAATGTTCCCATGGGTCACAGCCACAGTTCTGGGCGAGCAACTCGCCCAGAACGTTCCCATGCTTACTGGGCACTGCCACCTGGATGTTCCCTCTGGGTCACACTACACAACTCTAGGAGCTGTATAGTTGTGGGCATGTGACCCATTCCTTTATATAGCAACCATGCGGGGAGATGAGACCTTTACCCTTCTTCTCATCTCATGCCCCGCATAGGCAAGTGTATATATTCCCTTTCTTTTACTATACATCTCATGCCCCGCATAGTGTGAGGACAGGTTAGATGGGGGCTGAGGTCAGGGAGCCTCCGAGTCCGAGGCCAGGCCCTGACACTAACCTACATGGAATACTCCTGCCCTATCAGTATATCCTTGATCTCCTCCAATGCCAGGAAGGACTTTGGCAATCAGCCATCCACTTGTATCCTTCCACGTCCCTCTATCGTGCAGCCAAGACATGAGTCCATTGCGAATCAGTTTAAGGTGTCCTTAAAAAAAGAAAGAAAAGAAAGATACCCAAGAAACCTGCTGCTGACTCTGATCCCCTCAGTAATGTTGATAGGATGGGGTTGGCTCAGTTGATAGATGAACTCGATGTGACCCCAAAGTTCAGCCTCGAGGGCTGGACCTGTGCCACCTTTATTGTTAGCTACCAAGCTGTTCCCCAGGAGGGCAAGATCTTGGTTAGCATCGAGTGGTGATGCACAAGTGGCAGTGATGACGCTGATGTAGGCAAGAAGCTGCAAAATTGCAGCGAAGACCATCATCCCTCTTTCGAAGCTTAAAGCAGGGAAGAGTGTTTGTTTGGGTGGTGAGGACCAACATTCGGCAGGGCTGAAGTATGTTGGGCAGTGAGTTGATTCCATGATTGCGCAGATTCTTCTCCGGAGCTGATGTAGGGGTGTACCCTTCAGTTGCACAGGACGGTTTTCCAATTTCCACAGCATGGGCTCCGATATGGAATGAGCCACCGAACAATATGTAATATACTTGTCTACTGACCTGATTGACATCCTGGGAAGAAAACAATGGTGAAGCATAGCGTTTCATAGGATAACGAGCGTGAATGAACAGGGCATAGTAGTCCATGGGAAGGCATAGGACATGGAGGCAGCGATCATGCTTGTTTCCTGTGCATTGCGAACCCATAAACTGCACACCAATACGAATGGACATGTTTCTTGAAATCGACGATTCATTCCAGTCGTAATAGAGCTTGAGTAAAGCTGTCCATACCGATACCGAGATAAGTAAATTTGTGACACCTACTACTCGTGACCCAATGAATATAAAACGGTATGTGGGGGTTGCTGGTCAACCAACCTTCTTAGATAGTGTTCAACCGTCTGAGTAGCTGCACCGATGCTCTGGTGCACTGAGAGAAAAATATAGCCAGAAATAAGTTTTACGCAAGGGCCTGAAGGGCCCAAGAAGCTCTGGGAGCTCGTGACTGATTTTTTCAATTACAATACATTGTGCAACGGTCCCCGGTCGAATGTATTGCTGGCATCGACTTCCGTTGCATCATCATCGTCGCCAATGTCGTCAACATCATGAAAGTCATTCTTCATCTGTTTTGCATGTTTTTTTTTTTTTTTTGTTCAACTTGTATTTTCACTTAGTGCCAATTAAATGTTTTTAACTTTATCACATCCTCATCATCGTTATTCCACTCCACTTTGCCAGTGGTTGCTGTTGACAGCCTTTCTGTTATAAAAATGGGGCCTAATTGGCCCATTTCTATAGCGTCCGGGTGCAGGAGGGGGCCATGACATTGAGAAGATGTTACAATTAATGTAACAGATGTTGTAACAGTGGGGTTTACAATAACATGGACATCAGGTGTTTTGGGTGATAATCGTTGGTTCAGTTGTTATTATTTACATGTCACGTGATATTATACTGCATAGAGCCCATAAGAGGCTAAAAATGGGAAAATCCCATTTCCATAACACTTTCTGTCTTTTATCATGTCATAGTGAGGTTTGCAATCTCAACCCAACGAAGAGCTCCATGGTGTTGCTTATTTTGAAGCAAATAGAGGTGAAATACAGCTGGTGAGTTGCCTTTTTCGTGCAGCTTGTAAGGGGTTGGTGTAGGTTCCAACCCCAGTTCTCCTCAATCCTCAGGTCGTCAATAAAGTTGAGCTGTATGGAGCTTTAATTATCAATGATGGGGAGGAAAAGGAGTTCTCTTCCTTTTCCCAAATTCCCACATTATTGTATATACATTGTTTATACATGTTTATTATGGGACACATATAGAATGAAGATAATGAATGGGGTTACCACTCCTTACACAGCTCAACCCGTTCAACACCCATCAAACATGATATTGACCTTCTATTTGGTTTGGGGGATACATGCAAGCAACACCCTCTTCCCTTCCCTAGATAATGCCCATGGTTGTTGGCTGTCTCTTCCTTCGTGGCTCCGAGCCTTGTGCTGGTGCATTTTTACACTTGCAACCTGGACTGGTATCCCTCAATCAGTGGTTGGACTGCCACTTAACAAGAGCTAGGGCTTACACAGTGGCCTTTGCCTTTGGGTTTGTGCTAACTAGTTGAGTTGGAGTCGGAGTGGTGTCAGGCTGGGGATGTACTGTAGTGGCAGCAGACTGATGGCCTGAAGATCTAGAACACAACTAGCCTCAGTTCACTTTATTTGCCAGTAGACTGGATGCACCCACTTGGATGGTAAGTTCTCAGATGATCCTGTGTCACCCTCGATTGAGTTTTGGCCATCTCTCATGCCAGCACTTGACCTTTACATAGAGAAGTCAGGTTGTGGATGGTGTCTTGAACTTTTAGAAGGCTTACATGGATGTTTCCTTTTGAAGGTTGCTTTCCAGCATTGCAGCCTTGTTGACATCACTCATCAATGTAAGCGCCTCAAGTTGTTCACACTTCTTTTCCACTTGACTTGCTGTCAGTCGAACCCACTTGATCTGACCATCCTTCCATCCACCCAGCGCTTGCCCCAGATGAGCAGCATTACAGTACTTTGGCTCAATCAGTCTACCACTGTCATATCTGTGCATACCCGATCCCGACCCAACTTCTGGACCTCCTCCTTCCCCACCTCCGGAGTCCTACCCTACCGCTGTCCGTTCTGATACTCACCTTCGGTCCTGGAAACACACCTCCTCGTACTTCCCATGCCACCTCCACTCCACCTTCCCTCTCCTCCCCTATCTCCATCCACTCCGATACTCACCTCGGAACGAACACCGCCCCTCGCCACCCTCCTACTACTCCTCCTCCTACTCCTCCACTCCTCCCTCACAACACCTCCACCCTTCCGTCATCCTCCTATGCTTCTCCCGTCCGCTCTGATACTCACCTTTGGACCTAACAACTCTCCTTTCCGCCACTCCTTCCCTCTTCCCTTTCTCCTCTCTCTTCCCTCTGGTACTCTTCCGCCGACCTCCTGCCAAGTTATGACCTTCCACCACTGTCCCACACTTCATACTCGGGCACCACTCATACCTTGCTCCGAGCCTCCATCATAGTCCCTACCTCGGACTTTGACTCCACCTCGGCCTTAGTCCATTGCATTGGTGACCTCATACTATGTAAACACCATTGCCAATATTCCTCGGACTTTCAACCCCGCCTCTGTAAGCTCTGCAACCTCTGAGCTTCGCGGATCACCTTCAGCACTTTCGCCACTTGTAATGTATTTCTCGCATTTTCCCCTCATCCCTATTTGGACTGCTGCTTCTTCCCATTCTAGCCAGTTAGTCATCATCCCCACTTCTCCTCATCCTCTTGCCCCTCTGGGCCTCGCCCTCCCTACCTCCTTTTGAATGTATCACAGGTTCTGCCTTATGACCTTCGGTACCGCTCCGCTTCTGTCATCCCTTTGTTCCTGTTCGGATGTCTTCATTCCAATTCAGATCCCCTTTGTTCCTTGTGCTTTTGCCCCCTCCATTATATATATCGGCGCTTGTACATACTCATTTTGGGCTCAGTCCGAAATGCCCCCTAGAGTCTTCCTGCTCGCCTACTGTGAAATTAAGGACCAAATGGACAAACAGCAATGGCACAGCGCTCCGCTTGAGTCGCTGAGGCCAAGGTCCTTCCACGCTAAGTCTCCGATTCCACTCCGGAGTCGTCTGAATCCATGCCTCATCTCTAACAACCACCTGGATAACCAGTCATGTCAATCTCAACGCTGTATTTGATAGTCATATTCAAGTAATTCTGAGGCAACCATTCCATCCTTATGTCAGGCCTCCCAGTTATTTTGCCTTCACATTTTGATCAGTGCATGCCAGAAGACTTGGGGGTGATGTCACTTATGGAGACTTTCCCTTGTTGCCACGGCCAGGTCAGAGCGCATGTCAGCTGCTTTTTGCCTGTAACCCTTGACCACAGCTTGTTCTCATGTCTGTAAGTAGTCGTATACCAGATTCAGTCACTTACTGTTTAAGCTGCCTGTTGTATGTGCCTCCATGAGGCAGGCTTGCACTCCCATATCTGCGTATCCCACAGTTGTCCAGAAACTTTTTGCTTTGTCTGTTGCCCAGCAAACTGGTGCAAACAAATCTTTGGCTTGGCTCTTAGTCATCATGAGAAGTATCTCTATCCCACACAGCTCGTGAACTAACTTCACCTATTGTTTTTCCTTAGCACATCTTTCACTTTTTTTAGCATTGGACATGTACTGCATTTAATATTTGGTTTTGTGCATGTGTCGTGATGGAGTTCATGGACAACTCAGGTGAGATCACTGTTTGCTTCAATGCCCGATTCTGGATTTTAACCATGATGCCCTCTAGGATGACATCTGCATAGTATTCATCTGTATTAAAATCGCCAAGGTATTCATCCTTGTACGCAAGATTGGGCAATCTATTCTCTGGGACATTTGTAAGTGTATGCTTGCTTTGACTATGAGCACCTTCTTACCTTTGCGGCATCATGCCTCGGCCTCGGCATGAGCCCATGCGTTGGAGAGCATGGGCTTCCGTGTCTCCTTTGGTTTCGACAATTTATAGATAATCTGGTTCCTAATCTGTTGCTTGGAATAGCGGTGACTATGGCTTGAAAACTCAAGGGCAATAGCAGACACTTGGGACTCGAAGGGCACTTTCAGTTCCATAACCTGCTGATTAAACGCTTGCTTAACGATCTCTCTCTCTTGTCGCTTGGCCGCTGGGGCTGTTGGTCGCATCAGTAAACATTACTCAGGTATGGAGATGGCAGCTCTGACTTTACCTTGCGGTACAGATGGGTCTGGCATCATGTCCACCCAAACAGGAATTTGAACAAAACAACAGCAAACTGATCCTATTCAATTAATTTATTATGTAAAATCCAACTTGGGCTTTAAATTTCAAGAAAAATGGTAAGCGATTTTTCGGCATATTTCAACTGGACAGTAAAGTTGATTTACACATTCATCGTTGAACATGTAGATGATCTGTCTATGCCCTTGGCCCTGCTGCTGCCATCTTTGCAAGTAAGTATGCCTCATGTGGTGTACGTTCGAAACGTTTTACCAACAAGGTGTGGTAGTCAGCTTCGTTGAAGTCCTCAGATTGAGCTAACAGGATCATCAAGTTGATGTCTGTTTTGCTAAGTTCTTGATCCTTTTCAGGAAGCTCATAAGACTCGATGGCTTGGTACAATGAAGTGGAAGCACCAGGTGTGGGGACCGCCGAACTCTCCAATGGGAGTGGTGCCTTGGGGACTTGTAAATCAGATTGCAGCATCTGCAATTGCAGAGCCTTCACGTTTTCCTGGGTCATTGGTGATGGCCCAGGTGTGGCAGCCACTGGAATTCCAGTATGAATCATTTTGTTTGATTCCCCAGCTTTCACTGATGATGGCACAATGGAGGCAGTGGTACTGGTTGGAGTACGATCTACGTCGACCAAATCTTGAGCACTAGTTGGCCATAGGTATGGATGAACTTACATTTGAGTGGTACCTCTACATCCGATGCAAGTGAAATGCTGATGACATGCTCACTGATGGCCTTGGAGTCTGAGATCTGATCCTCAAGCCTTCCCCATAGGCTGGACAAACCAGATGCTGACCGCTGTGCCAAATTTCTGGGAGGGCTTGGAGGCATTGGAGTTTCCCTCCAGGATGAAACTGTGGGCATCTTGAATGCGAGCGGTGAAGGAGAGAACGAAGGTCAGTTGGGAGGTTCAAACGAGACCACCACCAAGCTGTTCCCTGGTTCTTTAGTTAGGATGGGGAAGTGTACTAGTAATATTTGTTGTAATTATAGTACCAATCCGAGTGTTTTGGCTAATTCTATTTTATGGGTTAGTCTAAAAGTTTCTGAGAATTGACTTACAGATAAACAAAGCCCTGCGGAGCTGTTCCTCTATTGTAATTTCTCAATTTGTCTGGGTGTAATTCTGTGTAGGATTGTTTAATTTGGATTTTAACTTGAATTAAATCTTTTACTTGGTGAATTTCCAAAGATTCTACTCAATTAATGGGTCGAGATTGTGTCTGAAGTGTCCCTTGAGTTTGTTTTATTTTTGTCTTATTTTATTGCTTGTTTTAACAGTAGCAAAATAACTGTTTTGTGTTTACACTTTGAAATCTGGAGTGTTAACCAGCTCTCCTGTTGAAATATTCACTTAATATTTCTCTCCTTAATTGCTGCCTTTTACTACAGTGGCAATCTTAACTGTATATCACTTTTTCACACTGGAGTGACAACCAGAAATGCTTGAGAAAAATAATACTCTATTTTCTTACTTCTCTGAGGGGGGCGAAAAGTCACAGGAAGGGTCTCCCTTTTATACTCCTTGGGTTACCTTCCTTTTTTATGCTCTGCCTCGTATTTACAGGATTTATTTACAGTGTATTTTCCTCAAACTGAATAAAAATGAATTTTTCACGCTATAGTTCTACTGCGGTCAGACTGCGCCTAGAATCCTTATTGTCCTTCCTCGCCTAAGCTATTTTAATGGTTCAATTAGAACCTGACTGCACTGCATTTGTTGCAGTTTTCTATTTCAAATTCTGTCATATCCATTCCCGGCCATCGACTTCCGGTCCCTCTGATCCCTCCGTTCCAACTCCGCTCCTCCCTCACTAACCTCGGAGCCCCCGTTATTCTGCAATCCTCTCGGTACCCCTCGATGGTCACCACCCCCCTAGGTTCTAATTGCCAGTCAGTAAGTTAGGGCACGGACGTGTCACTAGGCACAGCGCTCTTGGCAGAAGTCGCTGAGGCCGAAGCCCTCCGTTACGGAGACATTCCTTCGTCTCGACCCTGGTCTCTGACAGTATTTTTCTACTCCCTGACTAGTACACATCTTGTATGGCACCAAAAGTCCTTCGCACTCGTTCGCAACTATGCACATTAGTTCCCAACTCCGCTTCACCTTCCCCAGAACCTCCTCAGCCTGGTCCCAGTCGATTGGCGAGAAACCCAGTTGAGTTTCGAAGCTTTTCTAACCTTGAAACCCCTCTCCCATCGACTCCGATCATGCGCCCCGTTAGGAATCGATCACCAGTTGCAGACTCCGACTTCGGAGACACCACGGAACAACCCATAGATCCCGCCCACTTCTTTGGACTCGGTTCCGAGGTCCCCGACTTCGTCGACCCTCCTCCTGCTGATCCTCCCATCCCCACTGTCCCAACCACCGACGTTGCCGAACCCACCTCCAATGTGGCCATTACACAATTGGCCCAAGCCATTGCCAGTCTGGCTCGTCACACCGGACGACGATGACGACCACCATCTTCTGCTCTCCGGACCAAGGTCCGCGAACCCGAACAGTTCGATGGAAAGGATCCCAGAGAACTCCGAGTATTCTTGGTCCAATGCGAGCTCAACTTCCAGGACCGTCCCCTCGCTTTCGCTAGCGACCGTGCTAAAGTCATATTTGCGCAGTCCTACCTCAAGGGAATGGCCCTCGATTGGTTCGAGCCGGACCTGTTATTCGACCAGAATTCCACGCTTCGTCCGCGATGGATGAACGACTATCAAGAGTTCGTTAATGAACTTCAAACTAACTTCGGCCCTCACGATCCTGTGGGCGACGCCGAGGTTCAACTGATGACACTGGACATGAAGGACGGGCACCACATCAACAAATACGTCGTCGAGTTCAATCGACACGCCTCCCAACTTCACGGTTACGGAGAAGCCGCGCTTCGTCGTTTCTTCTATAACGGATTGCCGGAACGTATCAAGGATGATATTGCCAGAGTAGGTAAACCCTCTACTCTCTCTGAGCTTCGCACCCTTTCCCAAACTCTCGATGCACGCTATTGGGAGTGTAAATCGGAAGTTACACGTCATGCGAAACTGTCAGAACCGTGCGAAGGTTCGCCGAGGGTAGCCGTAGGCGACCGAGCGTTGCCCGCTAGTGATAAAGGCGTCCTACACCCGACCGAGCTTTAGCGAGGGATAAACCCCACCGATCTCGAGGCCGAGGCTACTTAGGCGAGTGAGCCGGGATTTCGGCTTCAACGACTCTAGGAGGAGCGTTGCGCCTCATTCTCGACGCGGTCCCGATACTTAGAAGGTCAGAGGTCTCACGGGGACAGAGGTAAGCTCTAGGGGGTAATTCTAGTTGATTTCGAACTACAGTACAGGCATTAGTTACAAGCCGTATATAAGCGCTAGGGAACTGAATAAGGAATAAGTCGCCAGATCTCGCGGAGATTGCGGGCAGAGAAAAGAAACAGGAAAAGAAACAAAGAGCACGTGCTCAAGACAGTGAAGGTCAAGCGTGACCTTTGCCGCGAGATAACAAGGTGCGGCGAAACATGGAACAACGGGTCGCGGCGCTCTGCGCCGCTAGGTCGTTCAACGACAAGGAGGAAAGGTGTTGTGGAGAGGTGGCGGGAAGTGGTTAGATGGCGACGGGCGGCGAGCGGAGTGTGCGGGGAGTGTTCGGGCATGGGAGAAGGTCAGGGAGGAGGTCGTCTGGCCCCGGGGAACGCCGGGTCGTGACAGAAACCCTCTTCCTCTAACGTTTTCGACAAGTCCACCGCCGCTTCTCGTTCCGACCCCGTCCCTTCCTCCTCCTCTTTCAACTCCGCTTCCGGTAGTAGGCCTCCGAAGGACAATAAGAAGTCCGAGGCCAGCTCCGCTAAACCGGACCTCTCGTCTAAACTCGGAGACAACGGTAAGCTCACGCCACAAGAGCGTAAGCGTCGTCTCGACGAGAAACTGTGTATGTTCTGCAGTCAGTCTGGCCACATGGTCAAGGACTGTCCCAAGTCTTCTTCTCGCGCATCTAAGGCCCGTTCGGCCCAGACTGAGGAGCAAGGATCCGCTTCCGCAGAAGCAAAAAATTAGTCCGCACCCCCGTGGACTCCACACGGACCGGGGGTTGCGATCCTTCCTTCCGTGCGCTCAAAGAAGTGCGTTTAAACGCGTCTTCCATTTCCGACTTATCCTCCCTCCACATTCCCGTTTCCTTTTCTCTTTCAAATGGTCTATTTTCTCCTTTCAATGTTGACCCTTCGGGCAATGTTCTACCCATTGTAGATAGTGTTGCTGATGTACCACTCTCTCCTCCGCCCCCTCCGACTACTTCCGTAGATCGACCCACCTCTCTCCGCTTCTCTTCTTCTTCTCCTCCTGTTTCTCCTCCGTCCAATAGTAGGACACAAAATAAACTTTTCCGCTCCTATGAGAACGTACCTGCACTCGTAGATTCTGGGTCTTCGGACTGCTTCATCGACGACACCTTCGTAAAAAAGCTGGCCTTGAAGACATACCAGATCAAACCCCTACAACTACGCCTATTCGACGGTAGCACCAACTCAATCATAACCCGTGCCGTTGATATTCCCCTCCACTTCGCTTCCGGAAACATCACCCCCACGACTTTCTTTGTCACATCACTGGATGGATCATGTTCCCTAGTCCTAGGACACAACTGGCTTACCCGCTACAATCCGTTGATCGATTGGGTCTCAAGCAGTATTACGTTCCGAACTTCCGAACCTACCAAGACAGTCACTCCGAGCTCTCCCCCGTCGTCTCCGGCACCACTGCCGTCGTCCGACATCCAACCATCTGATGTTTCGCCAGCACCTCAGTCACAGGCTGTTACTCCTCCATTACCATCTATCGAGTTCGTCAGCCGTTCCGCATTCGCGAAGGCTTGCCGACTTGAAGGATCGGTATCCTTCAGCCTAACCATCCCTTCCGAGGAAAGCCGCTTGAGGGCTGCCTCATCCCACACCGATTCCGTCGACCTCTCGGCCGTTCCGAAGGAGTATCACGAGTTCGCGGATGTGTTCAGTAAGAGCAAAGCCTTGATGCTGGCACCGCACCGTGAGCACGACCTAAAGATCGACCTTGAGGAAGGCACCTCCCCACCCTTGGGTACCATGTACTCCCTCTCTCCTTCGGAACTTGAGGCCCTCCGGGCGTTCTTAGATGAACACCTGGCCTCCGGTTTCATTCGCCCCGCTACTTCCGCTCACGCGGCACCGGTCCTCTTCGTCCGCAAGAAGGATGGATCCCTCCGTCTTTGCGTCGACTTCCGAGGGCTGAACAAGATCACCAAAAAGGATCGCTACCCACTTCCCCGCATCTCCGACCTCCTTGATGCACCTAGCCGTGCCACGGTCTATACCAGACTCGACCTCCGGCATGCTTACCACCTGGTTCGCATTGCAGCAGGCGACGAATGGAAGACTTCCTTCCGCACGCGCTATGGTTCCTATGAGTGGCTTGTCATGCCATTCGGTCTCACGAATGCACCTGCGGCTTTCCAGCGATTCATCAACACGATCTTTGCCGACCTCTTGGACATTTCTGTGGTAGTCTACCTAGACGACATCCTTACCTACTCGAAAGACATGGCTTCGCATCAGGAGCATGTCCGAGAGGTTCTTAGGAGACTCCGCAAACACGGCCTATACGCCAATCCGAAGAAATGCGAGTTCCATACAGACACTACGGAATATCTCGGTTACTGCCTCTCTCCTTCCGGACTCACCATGTCCATCGAGAAAGTCAAAGCCATCCAAGATTGGCCCGAGCCCCGTAAAGTCAAGGATGTCCAATCCTTCCTTGGCTTCGCTAACTTCTATCGGCGTTTCATTCACCAATACTCCGACATTGTGGTCCCCTTGACGCGCCTCACGCGTAAAGGAGCCCCCTGGCTA